CGCCCAAGCATCGCAAGGCTAGGCCTTGCTAGCATGCTAGGCGCTAGCGCACAACTAGCCCAACAGGCATCGCAAGGCAAGGCCTTGGTAGCATGCTAGGCACTGGCAGCCTCCCTCGCGTAGCACCATGCACCAGCCAGCATCGAGCTTGGTTGTGCGTGTGTGTGCGTGTGCCTAGCACAGCATCGCACAACACCATACGCCAGCCAGCAGCGAGTTGGGATGTGCATGTGTGTGCGTGTGCCTAGCACAACATCGCACAACACCATGCGCCAGCCAGCAGCGAGCTGGGTTGTGCGTGTGGCTAGCACAGCATCGCACAGCACCATGTACCAGCCAGCAGCGAGCTGGGCTGTGTGTGTGCCTAGCATTGCAGCGCCCAGCACAACCCATCAAGCAGTAGCGATGCATTGCGTGCTGGCTGGCCTTGTGTTGGCTAGCTGCGCATGCATGTGGGCTGTGAGCGTGTGCTCGCTGGCTGCCCAGCCTTGGTGCTAGGCGCCAGCTGGCAGCCTTGGAAGCCAAGGCAGGCTGCCAACCAGCCACATGGAGGGTAGTGCCGGTTTGCTATTGGGGACCAAGGGGTGTGGGCTTTGCCTTGGGGAACAACGCTATGGTCCCCCCCCCTGGAAATGGTCCTCACCTAATCTCTCATCCTCCTTGTGCCACTTGTAACTTATTGATTTAATTTCAATTTTATTTTTGTTTTAATTAAAATAAAATGGGAAAATTGCAAATCTCCCACATTGATTGAGAGTGGAAATTCAAGGTTCATTTCCCTATAAATACCAAGGTTTTGGGATTTGGGAAGAACACTTGAGTGGAACTAAAAAGGAATCTCCTTAGAAAAGTGAGAAAACCTTAATTTCGTAAAACTCTAGTTTTTATTGGTCGGGTCCCAACTAACCTTCAGGACTTGGATCGTTCGGGTCGGGTTCGTGGGTACGAGCCGTCGGAGACCTTTGCATTTGCGGGGTTCAAGTAAGAGCTCGGGATTCGAGCGAAGCACGCGCCAAGGGTAAGAATGTATTTTCTTTCTCCCTCTTAATTGTTGTTAATTAGTGATTGCATGCTTAGTCCACTACTAGAAAACAGTCAATCAACGACGGAAAAAATCCGTCGAAAAACCCTGAAATTCCGTCGGAAATGCCCATTTTCGACAGAATTCCGTCGGAAAACATTGTCGGAAAAGACCTTTCCGACGGATTTGGTTCTATCGGCGCTTTTGTTGACTTTCAGTGAAAATCCGCCGCAAGGTTCCGACGGAAATTTCCGTCGGAGTGGGAAATGTTCCGACGGAAATTTCCGTCGGTGGGGGAGATGTTCCGACGGAATTTTCCGTCGGAGGCGGGATATTCCGACAGAAAATTCCCCCACCCCACCTGCCCAGACCACCCCCACCCACACCCAGCGCCACCTGACTACCCCCCTACCTTCCCACACCACCACCAACCCACCCCCTGCCACCATAACCCAGATCCCCACCCACCAGCCCACCCCCTACCCCCCTGACTTACCCCCCTACCCAGCCCCACCACCACCAGCCCACCACACTCCTGCCCCTTACCCTCCTAACTTACCCAGACACCACACCCCACCACCCCAGCCCACCCCCACCACCAGCCCACCACAACCCAAATCCCCACCCACCACTGAAAACCCAGATCTACCCACCCACCTAAACCACATTCCAAAAAAAAAACAAAATTCAAAATCTAAAATCAAATACAAAATCAGAAGAAAACAAAAACAGAAAAAGGCGGAAAAAAATAAATAAAACACGAAAATATAGAAAAATCAGAAGAAAAAAAACGAAAAAAGCCGAAAAATCAGAAAAAAAAAATAAAAAAAAAATAAGAGAAAGGGAATAAGAGAACTCACCTTGAATTCCATCAAAACCCCTAATTTGGCTTGAATTTGGGTTTTAAAGGTCAAATTCGACCATAAAAACTCTAGATCTAGGGTTTTTATGGTCGAATTTGACATAAAAAAACCGTATTTTGTTGGTTCGTGGTTGCGTAGCGGCGGCGGTGGTTCGTGGTTGCGTAGCGGCGGCGGTGGTTCGTGGTTGCGCAGCGCGGTGGTTTGTGGAAGGGGCAGGAGAAGGGGAAGGGGAATGAGAAGGAGGAAAGAGAAACAAGAGGAAGGAGAAGGAGGAAAGAGGAAACGAAGGGGAAGGAGGAGAGAGAAATGAAGGGGAAGGAGGAGAGAGAAACGAAGGGGAAGGGGCAGGGGAAGGGGAAGGGGAAGGACGAAAGAGGAAAGAAGGGGAAGGAGGAGAGAGAAACGAAGGGGAAGGGAGGAGGAAAATCAGAGAAGGGGAAGGAGGAGAGAGAAACGAAGGGGAAGGGAGGAGGAAAATCAGAGAAGGGGAAGAGAGAGAAAGAGGAGAGGAGAGGAGAAAATTTCGGTTTTGTTTTTTTATATATATTATAAAGTTCCGACGGATAAACAATCAGTCGAAATATTAGGGTTTTTCCGAGGGAATATTCCGTAGGAAAATTCCGACGGATTTAAATTCCGTAGGAAAACTAACTGTCCGACGGAATATTCCGTCGGAAGCCTTTTATTCAGAGGGAATTAATTTCCGTCGCAATATTTCCGACGGAGTTTCCGTCGCAATGAACCTTTTCCAACGGAATGTTCCGGCAGACCCTATTTCCGTCGGAAAGTTCGAATTTTCCAACGGAATTTGGGTCCGTCGGAACGTTTCCCTCGGAAAACGGCCTATTTCTTGTAGTGGTCGCTTTAATTAGTGTGCGGGTCTTGGGTTGGTTTCCCTTCCGCGTAGAGTCGGACTCTACGAAACCCAACAGGTATCGCGCGCAATTTTCCGTCTTGCGCTAAGGTGGAGAGTGCAACTTTGAGAGTAGCACCTACCACATGTTTTTTTTTTTGTCGAAAAAAAAATTCAGAGAACTATAAAAAAACATGTTTTTGAATTTTCTTTTAAAAAAAAAAGAAAAGACGAACAAAATAAAAGCAACTAAGTTAGACAACATTGTTAGCCAAAGAGATATTATTAGCACCTACATAACTTTAAACCTTGAAGTGGTATTATCGTTCTCTTCGTATAACATTGCTCATAACGAGTCAGAATCCACATTGAACAGCGGGCGCGTGCAAAAATCAGAGTTGCATAGAAGAGTCGCGTGCAACTTCAGAACTTGCGCTCGGAGGGGGCGCACAACTTTGATAGTTGTGTGCGCCGCCTGACAGGTTCGACATTTTGATTGTTTTTTTATTTTGTACATTTTTTATAAATCGAAATGCAGAAAAATTTTTTAATCAAAATGAAGGACTTTTTTTTTATTATTTTTTGCGAATTTTTTAATATCTCTGGGTAACAAGTTGGAGTTTTATTAAACTAAACACGAAGCATATAATAAGCACATTGTCATGTAATCACATAAGCACATAAAAATGAGGAATAAAGCCAATAAAGCATACAATGTCATTCTAAAGTCAACAGTGAAGGCTTGGGTGTCCAAAGGTACCATATCTTAAGAATGATGCACGAATCAATCACTCAATGTGTTGACCCATGGCATGGTTCTTCTAACATTTTGTTGGCGATATGGGTGGGATGATTGTTATTGATTTCGTGATAGAAGCCTGGTGTTGGCGACCCCTAGTCGATGAGCCAATCCCCATTGTTTGAAGTGTGCTATCATTAAGCATGATGCAATGTTGCTTATTTGGTTTTTACTTTTGTGAAAAATGAAGATATTATGTGTTCGAGTCTCGCTCTCTAACGAGAGATTATCCAAGTTAGCCTTTCATTACAACTCATAGCTATCCTAAGTGAGCAACCTTGAACCATAACCAAAAGCTAATCTTGTAACCTCTAAGTCCCCAGTGGAGTCGCCACTGTGAGGAGGGTAGCCCGTTATTAGGGATCCCACTTCCACTATGCCCATGGACTTTTAAAAGCCTAAGACTTTACACTTTTTAGGGTGTATTAGGATTTGAATTGCTAATTATTTGGGAGACCTTGAATTAGAATTGAGTCCGTCATTAATTTTTTTTTTTATAAGTAACCAATCGAGAGTCGCCGATGAGCTTTAGGAAAACTCATAAACCTCGTTCACGCCTTTCTCCGAAGTAGAGTTCAAGGGATATTTAGCATGAATCATAAGTTTACCCATGCTCAAATTGGTCTACTAAACCAGAAATGAGTTTGAGAGCAAGGGTACTAGAAAAACGTTCTCTTTGAGAATTGCAATCCTAGCCTTAGTGCGACCTCTACTAGCTCTTCATTTTTCACAATATCATTACCAAATAATACATGCAACGTGATTCCTTAAAACTAAGTTAGTTGATTTTATTTACAAACATTAATCACAAAAAGACTACATTGCAACAAATGTCGTTGTTCTTTTTTTATTCAAATTCGTGAAAGAAACAAGAAATAAACAAGATTGTGAATCTGTTATGGATCAAAACATATGGTCGTTTGAGTGCAAGGGTGTCGGTTTTAGAGCCCGATTTAGTATTTTGATGATAACTTTTCGTTTTAACTCATAATTGAGCTTATAATATACCGTTGGAAAGCTGTTTAAAAGGGTTATCCAATTGTATAGGCCTTGAACGAATATTATATGGTTAATTATTTTGATTGGCTTAGTTTTCAACAATGTAAGATCCATTGTATCCAATCATTGCATTTGACGCATTTGAGTCCATTATTAATCAAGATTAAACATGTATGAGCATGTTTTAGGCCTAATTAGTGATCGGACTAGGCTCTAAGATAATTTGGTCTCAAATACGAGTTTTAACTTACTTCATAATGCATTTCAGAGTCCATAAACACTTCAACTTTGATCTAGTATGAAAAACGAGTTTTTGTAACATCATTGCACTTCTCGTCGGGATAGGAGGCCAAAAGGAGGTGTGTTCACAACTGCTTGACCCCACTTATGGGATTAAAGTTTAGATTGATTTTTTGCTGTTGTGATCTCTCTATATACCGTAATAAACGAGAATTATGGTAAAAAATGATGACATGGCCCGCTCCAAGAGCCTGCAAGGTAATGGTGTAGTTTTGGATTTTCAGCTTTCTAGTGTCAATTATTTCATGAATTTGTTTTTTTTAATCGCACTTCATTTTATTCCATGTATCATATAAATTTCAGACTAGCAATGGTGAAGTAAATGATAGGCTGAGTCTGCTTCCTGATGATATTCTGCTATCAATTCTATCTACCTTAACATTGAAAGAAGCTGCAAGGACTAGTCTTCTTTCTCGCAGATGGCGATGCATACCTACCTTAATCTTCGAGGATCCTAAGACAGTACTTCGACCTGAGCTATTAGCCCCAAAACAATCAGGCTTTATAAGTTGGGTAAACGATGTTACGAACAAACACATGGGTTTAGTTGTAGATGAACTTACGATTGATTTTGATTTACACAATGCTCTTCTATAAGTGGTTGGAATTCGCTTTTGGAAAACATGTCAAAAGACTGGATCTCAAGTTTAGATCACTATGGCCTGATAAAAATTCACAGCACAACCGCTACAGTATGCCTCCTCTAGAATGCCTGTCTCGTAATCTGTCCATCAACAAGCTAAGGGCCATTATTATTATTCCCTGAGATCTCAAGAGTTTTTACGGATTGAAAATAGATTCGATTAAACCAATACCATTACCATATGTTTGGTTAGAAGGCATGGTAACAATTACCATTACCTAAGGGTAATGGTTACCCCTCATTTGTTACGTCTCAAAAACTTAGGATAACAAATATCCTTACCCTTTTCTTAACAATTATCCTTTCGATGGTTAAACCAAACAAATGATAAGGTAATAGTTAAATGATTCATTTCCTCCCTCTTATTTGTTTCCTTCCCACTCCATTTCCATTATCTGAACCAAACGCCCCCTTAATGTGACTACGGAATTCATACAGCATAGCCTGCAATCATCTTGTCCGTGTCTTGAATACTTGCACATTACACTGGCACATTATTTAACCAGAGTTTCTGGCTCATTTTTAGGGTTGAAATGTTTGGAGATTTTCAACTGTCATCGTTTGGAAACCATTCATATTTCCACCCCTAAACTTTTGTCATTCAAATGCTTAGTGTATCATATCATCCTATCGAGTTACATATTGAAAACGCGTCATTACTCTCCAAGGTCTATGTTTGGCTGTATGGCTGGTTTATAAGACAATCACTTGCTCCTCTTTTCCAATATTTTTCACATTTGGAGTATCTATCTTTGGAATTTCATGTTAAGGTTAGATGCCAGAACTCAATTTTTAATTCTTCTGTAATGTTATAAAATTTCGGATACACTTGGACTACCATTACATATATGTCATTGTGAGTGAGGGATAGCTCAAGTGGTTAGAGCTCCATCCCGGTTCCAGAAGATCTAATTGACTATTTGTTATATTTTTCTTGCAGAATTAGGGATCAATCAAGTTCCTACTTTGGCAAAGCTCAAGCATCTAAAACTTCGAGTTATTGGAGATCAAAGCCTTCTTGGATTTACTCCCTTGATCGAAGCATCTCCAGTCCTGCAAAAGTTAACATTAGAGGCATATATAACATCGAACTATCTCTTGTTTTTTTTTTTTTTTACGAACCACATAATAAATTTAATTTATTGACGAGCCTTTAATAATTTTTGCATACTGCAGTTTTTTTCATCAGCCAACTTCATTTAAGATATCGAAACGAGATGGACAGCCCCTTAGGTGCTTAAAGACACTAGAGATACTTGGCTTTGCGGGAAATAGAATGGACCTTGAGTTGCTACATATGTATTCGAGAATGCTCTTGATCTCAAAGAGGTTATTATCGAGTTCGACCAAAGATGCTATAGTCCTAGAGCTGCAAAGAAGCTGAAAAAGAAAATGCCTCCAGGGGTAGAGGTCATCTCCAAGACATCAATTCCTCAACCGAAAAATCTGTTCTAATCAAAATTTTAGAAGCATAATAGTTGTTATTTATTTTTGTAACTATTTTTAAATGATTTGAACTTTTACATTATTTATATCATAAATAGGTATTAGTAGAAGCTAGAAACCTATGCACAGTTTTTTTTTTTTTTATTATTTTTTTTTACCTCCATTTCATATTATTTTACAACTATTTTCAAAAATAGACTCTTTAAAAAAGAGGAAGAAAAATTGAAAAAGATGATATTTATCTCTCCTCTTTCGTTCATATGTCTTAAGGGTTTGTTGGGGTGGTTGTCAATGGGTTTGGTGGGTTTTATTCGAAGAAAGTGGGGTGGTTTTGTGGATTTTGCGAAGAGGGTTAGGGTGGTTGCTCAATCCATATCATTCATTTTCGTGGGTTTAATCCATAGGAAGAACGATTTGGTGATCAATTCTATACGAATTACAAACTATGGCGGTTTATCAACAATGAAGAAGAACAAAGAACTAGGAAGAACAAACTTTTAATTTTAGGGCATGTTTGGCATTGTTTTTTGTTTTTAGTTTTCTGTTTTTTTGAAAACCAAAAACCTAACCAAAAATAGGAAACAAGAAAAAGGTGTTTCCACTTTTTTGTTGTCAAAATTTTCTAAATTATCAGGATTTTAATAAGTTTGAATAATTTTTTATTCATTATATGACATATATCATATGATTTTGAAAATAAAAAAACCAAAAAACAGAAAACCACAACAATGCCAAACGAACCCTTAAATTTCTGATTTTACTTTTTAATTTCAATAATAATTAAATTAATAATTAGTAAAATTAAAAAATGAATTTTGAAAATTTTAATTTTAATTTTCAAAAATTTAAAATGATATTTTAAAATAAAAAAACTGATTTTTAATTAATTTAGGCATTGAAAAATATTTCAAAAAGAAAAGCACACTTAATTGGATTCCGGCCAATCGAAATATGCCATATAGTTACAGTTATGGTTGTCATTTTTTAATAGACTATCATAGAATTACCAATCATGCCAGGAAATTTACATTGTTCCAAAATTTAGATTAATTTTTCACATCCTAGAAAGTTGGTTTTCACAGGTACTCACTTAGGACATTTAGGAGTTTAAGGATGTCACCTTTTGTGAACTTAAGAAGTATCGATCTTGTTGCACTTCTACATATGCACTAAATATGTATAATGAACTCATTAATTAGGCTTGTTTTTTAACACAAAACGAAGCATAGATTACTTGGGCATAGCCCTAAATATATTACAACCTAATGTCTAATGATTTGCTTATACCCAAATTAAAATGTAAAACATGGACAAAGTTTATCCAAAAAAAAAAAAAACCAAGTTCATAGTTCATACACAACATGATTCAAGACAACGATACTGACAAGACTAAGCTATTCCTGAGAAGGAGCAACCAAAGCATTGAGATCTGCTTCATATGCTGCAAGAGCACTAGTTGGAACTACATAAATAGTGAGGCCTATGCCCCATAACATTAATTAGGCTTGTTGCTACAATATGAGCTTACATTTGAATGCCGTAATGTAATTTTATAACAAAGACAATCCCAAATTACAGGTGACATCTAATTTTTGGAGGTAACATAGAACATTATTATCATTTAAATTAACAATATGGCTTATTAAGTTATTAATAAGTCGCTAAGCTAGAGCTAAAAAAAACGAATAAAAACAAATGGAATTCAAAATAAAAAATAAAATAAAATTTTCTCTAGGTTCTTAGTGCATGCATCTTTAGGGCAATTCACTATCATGCGCTAACCTATATAGATGGCAAGGAAGAAGAAACCAACTCCGAATAAAACCTTGGTGAAAGTGCCGATTATTAGTAATATAGATAATTTTAAAATAACTTCCTCATGGGGGAAAGGTAGTATGCACTCTGTAGTTAGTGGAGTTGAGTTGGGTGGTGAACCTGAACTTGTAAGCCCTTCATTGGTTCAACAATTCATCCTAGTGCTCGGCTTATTACAAGGGAGGACCATGAGAATATGGTGGCCATGAATCGAGCTTTGGGTATTTCTGTAATGATCAGTAAAAACCAAGTTCATAGTTCATACACAACATGATTCAAGACAACGATACTGACAAGACTAAGCTATTCCTGAGAAGGAGCAACCAAAGCATTGAGATCTGCTTCATATGCTGCAAGAGCACTAGTTGGAACTACATAAATAGTGAGGCCTATGCCCCATAACATTAATTAGGCTTGTTGCTACTAAACCTGGGCACGGGCCGGGTTGGGCCGCGTGCCGCCCGGCACGGCCCGCCGTTCGGCGCAGCCCGGCACGGCCCGAATTCAAGCACGGCACGGCACGAAGATCAACTCCCGGGCCACGGGCCGTGCCACGGACAGGGTTGAGAATTCCCAGGCACGGCACGAGCACGGCCATGGCCCGCCGTGCTGGCCCGTCGTGCCGGCCCGTAGGCACGGCCCGGAACGGCCCGCGGGCCAACGGTAATATTACCGTTTATTCTAGCTCCTTAATAAGCCAAAAAAACGGCTAAAAAACGGCTAGTTTTTTGCCAATTTGCTCCCCAAAAATTCTATAAATACTCACCTCCATTTCATTCCCAAATCACAAAATCACAATCTCTTCTTCTTATCTCTTATATTCTCTAAATCTCTAATAATCCTTATTTTCTTAAATTCTCTAATTATTCTCTTAAATTCTCTAATTATTTTTCTAATATCGGAAAAAATTAAAAAGTTCGTAATCGTAATTAGTGGAGCGTTGAAGCACGGTTGTAAGATCTAAACTAATCTTAAATTTATTATTGTTTTATTGTTATTATTAGAATAATCTTGTTTAATTATTATTGTTGTTAATTGTTATTGTTGTTGTTATAATTGTTGTTATTAATTATTATTATTGTTACAATTGTTGTTATTATTTATTTTTGTTGTTGTTATTAATTATTATTATTGATATTTTTATTGTTAAAATTGTTGTTATTAATTATTATTATTATAGTTAACCACTTTTTATTAAAAAATTAATTGTTAATTATGGCATCGAAGAACCCATCATCTAGGTCTAGGGGGAAAGGCCGACTTATCCGTAGTAGTAGTTCTAGGGAACCACCAAATACAACGAGCCCCCAAATTACGAGTCAAACCAATGACCCCATTTACTTCCCCCCGGGCTATGAGCCATATAATACGTCGGGATTTCCAGCACCACCACTAAACCAATTTCCACTACCACCATACCAATTTTCACCTAATTATATCGGTGATCAACAAAACTATTGTTCTAGCCAAGGTAGCCAAGAAAGTACCCGAATTCCCTCCGGTTCTACCCCATCTACTGCCACTCCCACTAGTCCCACTACTAACCATCACACACATCATGAATGGTTAACCGAAACTGAGATGCTACTTTTGAAAAACCGAAGGAGTGAGGTATGGCGTTATTTTGTCCTAAGTAAAGATGGTGAACAATGGGCAAAATGTAAAACATGTAATAGTGTATTCACGGCAGTTACCAAAAACGGGACGAGACACTTATCTAGACACATGAAAGCTTGTGCAAAACCAGCTAGTGATCCAACCCAGCCCAAAATTTCCCAATTCCATCCATACGGCTTTACATACAACTATGAGAGGGATAGGGATGAACTAGGAAAAATGATAGTACACGCCGAACAACCTTTTCTTTTCTCGGAAAGTGACGCATTCAACACCTACATTAACAAAGCACTACAACCCCAACATAAAAGAATCTCTAGGAAAACCGTTCGTTCCGCCGCAATGAAAAATTTCCTAGAGTACAAAGTCCGGTTACAAGCCGAATTGAGTAACCTTAACTGTAGAGTATCTTTAACAGCCGATTTTTGGGATAGTGGTTATAAATATCACTATTTATGTGCGACTTGCCATTGGGTAGATGATCAATGGATGTTACAAAAAAGAATAATACATTTCAAAATGCTGGAATACCCACACACCGGCATTAACATTGCTCACCATTTAATGCAAGCAATAGACGAATACAACCTTCGAGATAAAATGATGTCTATGACTTTTGATAATGCAACCTCTATGACATACACAGCTAATCTTATCAAACAAAACTTAACCGATGTACTATTAGATGGTGAAGCTCTTCATACTAGATGTGTTTGCAATGTACTTAACTTATGTGTACAGGATGGAGTTCGGGCAATTGGCCCATACTACAGCAAAATCAGAGATGCTATTATGTCTATTAATAGCTCTATCATGAGATACCAAGAATGGAAGAGTTTTCTAAAACAACAAAAGATAAGGGTAATAAAAATTAGAACCGATTGCCCAACTAGGTGGAATTCCACCTATGACATGTTAACAAAGGCAATTGAGTACAAGGGCCCGTTAACATTATTTTACAACCAAAAATTTCCACAAAATGCTTTGTATGATGATGATTGGAATAACTGTGAAAGATATATGCAATTTTTACAGTTATTATATAACATAACGTATTGTTTTTCTACTGTTTACAATCATTGTGCTCAAAACTTTCTTTCTAATGCATGCTTACTTGCCCAACTTTTCGCTGATCATCGCCATCAAAGTGATTATGATCAGTATCTTCCTGCAATGGAAAAAAAGTGGCGTAAATATTATAGTGAGATTCCTTTGATTTATATTTTTGCTTCCATATTAGATCCTAGGCAAAAGTATGAAAACACATTTATGTTAGTTGACATTTACTTTCAATGCATGTTTCTTGACGATGATGTAGAAAACTATAAGACTAATGTGAAGGATCAGTTTTTTGCTTTATATAGAGTCTATGAAGCCAAATATGGCACCGTTCCTCGCTCAGGGCCTTCCCAACCATCCAAAAACGTAAGTAAGAAGGCCAAACATTTATTTTCACAAGCTACTAACTTGATTTCAAGGTTTTCAGGTGATTCATCAATCAGGAGA